TTTTTTTTTTTTTTTTTTTTTTTTTTTTTTTTTTTTTTTTTTTTTTTTTTTTTTTTTCTTTTAAATTTTATTTGCCTCACGGACAACAGCTTGTGTTGACTGACTGCCTGCCAAATGCTTGCTGGTCAGGGGTGGGGCCAGAGTGTGTTTTTATGCTGCAGCAATGGTTTGCCTGGAGCCCTGACACCTCACATTGTATTTGCTGCCAGTATTTTTACAAAGTGTTTGCATTTATACAAATTTATCAGAGTGGGAAAGGGAATTGTCTTGAATCCTCTTCTGTTAGAATCATAGTCTTAAAATCATCTTCTGTTAATTACCGCTGGGATAAAGTGAAATGAAATAAACTCAGATTCAAATATTAATAATTTATTTTATCTATCAACTTTGATTGATACGAATATCTTGTTTATGGGTGAATTGTAAATGTTAAATTTTTGTCCCACCACCTTTATGGGGAGGGGGGAATTATCCTAGTGCTGTTTGTAGCCCAGAAATGAGGAAAAACTGGTAGTAAAACAAATTTTATGGCTTTTTATCGGTTTTGTAAAGGAGTAAGATATCCCTGATTGCCGAAAGGGGTTAAAAAAGAAAGCAAATAATCAAGAAATCATTATTAATCAACCCTACGAAATCTTGCACCAAACTGAAAGGCATATTCAAGCAAGATTAATTCACTCTATTCCCAAGTGTGGTTCTCTATATTATCGGCAGATGGCAGTACAATAAGAGGCATTTATAACTTCCTCTGGATGATACGAATGCATTGATTTACACTAAACTGAGCTGCTATGACGTCAGAGGAAGACAGCGGATACTGGGTGAATTAAGCGTAATTAATTAAATTTTAATTTATTCATTATCATTTGTTGTCTTTCCTAGGGATTTTATGTTATGAAATTAAGCAAAACATGCTTTTCTAAGTTCAACTCATTAAAATAAAGTTTAACTAAATTTAGTATCACAAGTAGACCGAAAATGATGCTATTAATCGCAGTTAACCGATGATACTCATAAACACTTTTCTCCATTAATTTTGTTCTTTTGCTCATGACTTAGGTTGTTGTTTTTTTTCAGTCACCGTTTAATTTGAAATTATTTTTATTTATAGCCACGCATTACATAACCGTAACTAAAAATAAAATAAACACGTAGTTTCAGATTACTTCAGAAATACTAATTCGGTGAAGTGGGGCTTACATGCCATACACGTTGATCCTTGAGTTTACCTTCTCAGCTAATTATTTAAAAAAAACGTAGAATAAATTCCGTTTATGATTAAATAAAGCTGTAACCTAGAAAACCTCACTGATGTTATCTTTTAAATATTTGAAAGGAAAAAGAATAGAATCGTCTGACTGAATCGTTTGAAAAGAACCATCGTCATTTTTCTTCTGAACAGAATCGTCTGCAGCAGCGGTTCCCAATTTTTTTTTTTCGCTATTTAACCCTAAATAATCAACAATCTTTTGACGGAATCCCAACTTTATAAACAAAGTTTATCACAGTAATTGTTAAAGTCGTAACCTATGTTAGACTATTTTTAAAATATTTAAAGTAAATTTTAATTAGAGGAATGAAGATTTTTCTTTTTTTTTCTAATCATGAGTATTCTCAAATCAGGTTTAATGTTTAATCAAACCTATCCTAACTTAAAACCAAGGGCTACAATTAAATTTTTAGTTCTCGTGCTATATCTAGACGGACTATAAATTTGTTTTTGGTATATATGCATAAGGTGAAAATAAATAAAATATGCCGAATTATGACTTTCATCGAAATGAAAACTTAAAATAATAACTATAAATGTTAAAATGGTTATTAAGGAAACATATTTATTTATCAAAGAATTTAGTTTTGATTTCAAAAACGCAATAGGAAGTACTAACCCAATATTTGACTTAGTATTACCTATTGCTTGTTCTTTTCATAATTTGTTCAATATACAGTTACTAAAAATATTACATTCTTTTTTTAAAAAAAAAAACTTCCATTTCTATTTCAATGACATTTTACTCCAAATATTTCCTAAATTCAACCAAAAAATAAATAAATTATGAATTATAGGTTGTATCTAAATAAAATCAGAGGTTTCAAAACTCATCACTGGTTATAAAAACTAACAACTCGCGGAACCTCTTAAACTGTTTCATGGATCTCTAGGGTTCCACGGAACACCAAATGGGAACCACTGGTCTACAACCAACTAGTTTTTCTCTTTTCCGAGTTACGAACAAAGTTTAGAAAACAATGACGAAATTCTACCCTAATTGACTAAAAATCCCTATGTAAATCATGCTCAAATATAGTTTCTAGTAGTAAATGGCGTATCTTCAGATTTCTCACATAGACTTATACAAATCCAAAGTAACTTACTCGAATGGAAATTTTTTTTAAATTGATAATCAGTAAATAAGTTTTACACGCAATTAAAAAAAATTTAAAATAGCATGAGACTCGATAAAAGAAAGCGTCTCAAACATATAATAATTATAATTTTATCTAAGTACATAAGGTAACGCATTGAAAGGATACGTGGACTTTAAAACATTAAACTTAGAAAAAAAATTAAACTTAGGACTATCTGCAGTAAGAAGTAAGAAGTGAGAAGTAATTTTATTTGTTAACAATATGTAACGATAAACTTAGGACTATCTGCTGTAAGAAGTAATAAGTGAGAAGCAATTTTATTTGTTAACAATATGTAACGATAAACTTAGAACAAAGAACAGTTCGCATTGGAAACAGTTTTGCTTAGCTTCAGTCTGCGAAATTTAAAAAAATTTGATATAAATATTACGATTTATATCTGGCAACATCAAAACTCTCCCCCCTCTCTCTCTCCCTCTCTCTCTCTCTCTCCCTCTCTCTCTCCCTCTCTCTCCCTCTCTCTCACACACACACACATTTTTTTAGCTATTCATTTTATATTATTTTAGATAATTTTTTATTACTTTTGGCATTACGTCAAGCGCGAGTTTATAAAATGTAAATCACGAGAGAAATAAATTTTTCTACAATAATGTATAAATAATTATTATTTAAAATAAAAAATACAAAAAGCACTAATAATTGGAATAACTTTCAAGCACATTGAATAGTCAAAAAATAAAAAATGACTCCCGTTACCTTATTTTTCAAAATGATCCTATCAGCATTCTAATTTCAATTCTGCAGTTACATTTTAAAGGGTAGTAGATCGGCCAACAGGGTTTTTTTTTTTTTTTAACTACAAGCTCAACAGTTAATAATTCTCTAACCAATATTCAAATCGGAAAGTTTTTTATTTTATCAAATTCTCTGTACATCTTTTCACATACCATCATATATTTCAAGTTTTTAAGTTTTATAGTTTTTACGCTTCAAAATAAAATGTACATTCAAAATTTTCAACAAAAAGAAAGCACTTAAAACTGCAATTATGTTTGAACAAATTAAAATTAATGAAAAAAAAACTATGTTCATAAAGAAACATGACCCTTTCAGCATACCAAGCTAAACTTAATAGCAATTTATAATTCTCAAACAAATTATTGAATGTTATTTTTTTTATTCCATCGTAATTACTGTACATTTTTTTACTCACCTTCGTAATTTCATGTATCTAAGCCTGATAGTTTTTGCATAGCAAAAAACAAATTGCGATGTCGAAGTCCCTTACGAAATAATATAGAGAGATGTGTATCAAATTATGAAATGTAAATTTGTATATTTCTAATTTTTAAGATTTTGCTTTCAAAGTATTAAGTTACAAAGATACTTTTAAAAAACCAAAAGCAAGTTTTTTTCTACCACTATCTAAATAAAAATTACGACGTTATAATTAGAAAAAATCATTTCCTTTAACCGAACTGTATGACCATTCGGCTTAAAGCTCTATAGCGTGAAGGTAGAGGGTTCGATTCTCATCGTAACCCTAGATGTATCTTAGTACTTCAAAAATGCTTACTATCAAAGACATTACTACTCTTCGTAAACTTAAAAAATTTTAAATTATAACACTCAACAAGAGCTATTTCAAATTGAGGAAATTAATTTCAGAAAACGATTTTAAAAAAAAAGTTTATGATTATTACGTTCAACAAGAGCTATTTCAAATTAAGGAAATTGCTTTCGGAAAACGATTTTAAAAAAAGTTTGTAATTATAACGTTCAACAAGAGCTATTTCAAATTGAGGAAATTACTTTCAAAAAACGATTTTAAAAAAGTTTGTAATTATAACGCTCAACAAGAGCTATTTCAAATTGAGGAAATTACTTTCATAAAACGATTTTAAAAAAAAGTTTGTGATTATAACGTTCAACAAGAGCTATTTCAAATTAAGGAAATTACTTTCGGAAAACGATTTTAAAAAAGTTTGTAATTATAACGTTCAACAAGAGCTATTTCAAATTGAGGAAATTAATTTCAGAAAACGATTTTTAAAAAGTTAATTCAAAAGTTCAACAGGAGCTATTTCAAATTGAGGAAATTAATTTCAGAAAACGATTTTAAAAAAGTTAATTCTAAAGTTCAACAGGAGCTATTTCAAATTGAGCAAATTACTTTCTGCTAATGACTTTAAAAGATTAATAATTATGCATTTAACAAGAACTATTTCAAATGAAGTTAACAACGCTTAAAAATGTTATAACTATTACGTTTAATAAGAATGAGTAACTTACCCTACTACAGTGGAAGTAAGAGTCACCTCTTTAGGAATACGCCGGCAAATATGTTTCCGTTTCTCAGGGAATCTCTGAAGAAGCGGTTGAAATTCAGTTTCCATTTTATTCTAAAAAATAAATAAATTTCTAATAAATGCTCCTTTTAATTTTTATCTCATAAATTCTTTCCGGTTAGAATTCAATAAGTTTCTCAAGTCATTGTGATTTCCTCTGAATGTATGAAAGAAGAAGATAAGACGAATCCAAATGAGGAAGAAATGAAAAACCATAAGAACTAGTTACTTAATCATCGAATCACTAAGTCTTAAAATTCAACCTTGATATTTGTAACGAAATACGAATGAACGAAGGTGAGGTTTTTTTCTTGTCTTGTCTTATGTTTACAAACGACCAATACGGTGGGGTGAAACCTTTTTTTTATTTCTTTCTTTTTTTTCTTTTTTTTTTTTTTTTTTTTTTATTTATTNTTTTTTTTTTTTTTTTTTTTTTTTTTTTTTTTTTTTTTTTTTGTATATATCTTGATCAGCATTCTATTTCAAATTCAGAATGCAATGGTATTTCGAAATAAAATATTGATTTACAACAGATATATTTACTATGGCTATGACGACAAATACGATACAATAACAATATGTAACAATATCTCTGTATACACTACCCAACAATAATGGAAGAGACACTTTCAGTTTTTGACATTTTTTTAAACTTCTCAAGAAATAATTAAAGGATTATTTTGTAACTTTATAGGTGTTTAGTTCAGGCTATTTTTCAAGCTTAGCAATAAGAATTCGCAATTTAGCAAAAACAAACAAACTTTCAGAGGTATGGGAGACCAATAAAAAAATTACGAAAGAAAACGAGTATTTTTGAACACCCTATGCCAGAAATCCAATCAAAGAACATATAACTAGTAGCGATTATTTAAGTTGTTATTTTGAATAAATGCATAAAATTTCCTAAAAGTAGTGCAAATATTTATGGAGATGTAGACGTTTTTATAAAAAAAAAAAAAAAAAAAAAAAAAAAAAAAAAAAAAAAAAATCTTTCGTTTTTGTGCTATAACTTTAAAAAAAATTCAATGAATTTAAAATTCTTGGAGCAATTTAAAGTTAATTACAAAATTATTGGTTTAAAATTATTGGTTTAAAACAAATCCTTTAAACCTGCGCAAGATATGTGTGTTTCAAGTAGTTATTTGATGCTGCCCATGCACAGAAAAAAATGTTTTTAAAAAAAAAATTCATAATTTTGTAGTGAATTGTATTTGAAAACTAATGAAAAAGTTTGATTTGAATGTCTTAAAAATTTAAAAAGTTTCAAGCAATTTTGAAAGTAGTTCTTGTATTTTTTTTAAAAGAAAGCTTGAAACGATAAGGGGTTATCAACAAATTTCACTTTGTACTATTAAACAAGATTATATTAAAAATGAGACCGGCATTGTGGGGATCATTCCCCATAAAAGTATGTTTTTTTTTTCCATAAGGAATCACCATCTCATTTTGGTTACCGTAAGATTATTGTAAGGGGCCGTTCAAAAAGTACGTACACAAAAAATGGAGAAATTTTAACCCCCTCCCCCCCTTTCGTACATTACAGTACATAAGGTCTTACTCCCCCCCTCCCCTTAGAGTACGCACATTTTATTAGTCTATCCCCCTTTTTCATAAAAATTAAAATAATTATGTTTTAAATAAAATTAAATATTTATTTAACGAGTGTGTAGGAAAAAGTCTAATTTAAATTTGGTGTATGCTTATAATGTACGTACTTTGTATAATACTTCCCCCCACCCCATCGTACAAAACCATACAAAATAGCAAATCCCCTTCCCCCTCGGGATGTACGTACTTTTTGAACGGCCCCTAAGGTATTATCATTTGTTATTAAATAAGCAACTAAAGTTATCGTTACAAGTTACAAGCTTGTTGCTTGATTTTCTGGCATATGATGATCAAAAATACTTTTTTTTTTCGTAATTTATCGCATGTCTCCCAAACCTCTGTCAGCTTTAAATCTTATTGCTAAGTATGAAAAATCGCATGAACTAAACATCTCTAAGTTTTAAAACAATCCTCTAAGTATTTCATGAGAAATTTAAATAAAAGTCAAAAACTGAAAGTGTTTTTCCATTATTGTAGGGTAGTTTATCATAACCCTTTGACGCAAAATTTTTATTTAACATATTTTAATACTTGTGCTATTACCCATTGGCAAAATGGGTTTTGTTTTGGGTTTTATGGCGTGCGCACTTTATTTGGACGTTATCACACTTTTCAACTATGCTCCAGAGTAATAGTAAACAGTGCGCATGCGTTGCCATGGCGACCGCTGCTGTTAGATAATTTTTTTAGAATTTTTTTTTTTTTCTTTTTCTTTTTACCTGCAGTCATTCTTAATGTATTTACAAAATGATAATTTAAAGTATTTTTATATTATTTTTATTATTAGCTTATAATTACTGTCTTGAAGGTGATTTTAACATAAATATGAATACTGAAGAAGGAAAAGTATTTTGTGCCGTCTTGAAACAATTACATAGGATATGAAAACCAATCCGACGACAAACATCAATTGAGACAGTTTTCGCAATTCAAGATTTGAAATGTTGTGGCGTTTATCGGAGTCAAACCAGAAAAAAAAAGCATTTGACCAATGGGTATCCAGTGATCGTAATTAAGCAATCACAATTTTTTTTATTTTGGATTAATTTAGGTCGAAATAAATAATTTAACATTTTAATAATTTATGATTATGAAATACAGCATGAAGTACCGGTATTTTTTCTGCGTTAAAGGTAAAATCTTCCAAACACGGTTCACTTCCTAACAATAATTTTTCAAATTTGCACTTATTTGTCGTTATTTAGATTTCTCAATGTACCTATAAATTAATGATAAATTTTTAAATGTGAATGAAAAAATAATTTTCCAGCTTTTTTAAAAATTTTATATTTTATAAATCCGTTAATCTAACAGTTTTTTACTAACTATTAGACTGTTTTAGAGCAACAGAAAAAATATATAGGAGACACCGGTGTTCCATCTGCGTCAAAGGGTTAAAAAGATAATTGTCTTAATTGTTTTCATTTTGCATAAATATCGCATGACATAGACTAAGAATATAAAAATATCATTGAATGTTATCAGCATAAAATTAATAAAAGCCGCAACAGAATTTCCCAAAATATGGGAGGTAGCCACAATTGGGTATATTATAGCCTACGTCACAGGTTGTGTTATTCCTACTAAATTTAACCCATGAACGGCATTTTCTGTGAGCCTAACTTCAAGCCACAAATAAACAAACGAAGTGTTAGAGCGTTTAAATAGCTGCTCGCCAGATTTTATTGCATTATAAAGAAAAGTAATTGAAACTAAATAAACAACAAGAACTAAAACAAATAACAACAACTACTAATAACAATAACTAAATAAACAAAAACTAAATTCCATTCGTTTAGCATTGCGTCATATGTTGTTCCTACTAAATCGAAGTAGTTGTGTTTTTTTCATATTATACCCAATTTGGGAAATATAGTATAAAGTCTAAAAATATAAAAAAATAATTGGCTAGCAAAAGCATGAATAAAAGTAAAAATATTAAAAAATAAAGGGGTAGCAAAAGCATGAATAAAATAAAATAAACACATAAAGAGATAAATAATAAAAAAAAGCAGACGATAAAATTAGAACAGCAGAGAGTTGTTGATATTTTGGAGAGTAGTTTTGGTTTTTGAATTTGAAGTTCATACTAACCCGTTTCGGGTCTTTCTATGTTTTTTTGTAAGTATATTCGTACCCGTTACGGGATTTTCTATATTTTATTGAAAGATTATTATTAACCCGATATGGGTAATTTAATGTCGTTACTGTATTTGTTTTGGTTTTAAATAAATGTATTTTTGATAAAACAAGAAACTGTTTTAATATAGCTTGATACGTTTCAATAGTCCAAATAGTTTGGTCAGGAGTGCGATCTTAAGTTCGAACTCCTTAATGTTACTTTTACTTTATGCTTACTTCACAATATCTCGAGAATTTTTTAAGCGAATTAAAAAAAATTTAGCACTTTATTATAAAATTCGCTTATCCAAAGATCATTTCATGATAAAAACAAATTTCAGTTAATATTTATTATTTTTAATTATTTTACTTAATAATAGTCGAAAAAATTTTGAACTGTAAGATATATAATTTTGACATTATTCTAAAGAATGTAATTTCACATGGCAAAATACAAAATTTGAGCGAATTCGGTTGAATAGCTTCAGAGAAAGCAAATTTTTTTTTTTAAAAAAAAGTCATTTAGCTAAAAGTCGATTTCTTTGAGAAAGTACGTTTTCGTGTCTGATTCCGTAACTTAAAATATCGTCTGCACTAATTAATTAGAATATTTGAGGTCACCTCCTCGAACCATTAAGATTGAGTCCTACAATGTGAAAATCCCATCATTAGGATCGGAAATTATCCAGAAAGGGTTTTTTTTCTTTGCGTCCCCTATATCAGTAAGATCATTAACTGTTCAATGATATTTAATGAAATGGAAACTCTCCCAGAAATCCAAATCAATGAAAAAAATTCATTAAGGAATAATATTAGGCATGTAATTATCGAACATTATTATTATTATTGGCAGTTATTATTATCATTAAATTGGCAGTTGTAAAATTATTATTATTATTAATATTATTATTGAAGAGATGACGCAATGAGTTTCCGAGTATCCTATTAGAAACTTAACCATTAGTTCAGTAGTTTTTTTAGGACGCTAGAAAGCCTAGAAATAATTTGAATTTCAATCCTTTAGAAGAAAAACTAATACCTGTCCTTAAATGGGGACGCTTTCTGTAACGTATCAAGAAAAGATTTAACACCTAGCACATTAATCCAGTTGATATATAATCTTAAAAAAAGAAAAGACAGTAACCCAGAAAAAATGAAGGAGAAGAGATAAACAAGATTTCCCGTCATATGTAAAAATGTATGCGTAACACAACTCAACTCGCCTCACTCATGCGAAGAAATAAAAGTGACATTGCAGTTCATTCACGTATGATATTCGAAACGGAAGATTTTGCTCGTATCATTTAACTTCGAGTGGAGTAAAA